TCTAGTTTGCTCAGTTGATTCTTTGATATTTTCCCCGAAAATATCTTTTTACACACAAAATATGACTTCAGCCTTATTATGAGGGGAGGGTTTATTATTTTGGGGTTGCCGGGCTGCTGCTCTCTTGCGAGCGGGCTCCCAAAGAGCTGGGCACAGCCTCATGGGGGAATGGCTGTGTTGCATTGTCGCAGCAGTGCAACACAGCAGCCATGAAGAGACCATGCTCATGAGCAGCCATCTGGCAAACCCCCTTTCCAGATGGGCATAGCACCATTCACTGACCTAGAGGTATCGCAAAGCCACGTGAGTGCCTGTTTGCCAATACCCTGCTTCCCCGGCTTGGCACCTTCGAAATGGCAGTGAATTGTGCTCTGCATGGCTAGAGAGGGGGGTTACGTGAGTGGCTGTTCTGCTCTTGCTCTCACACCATCCAGCCTCACAATGCCCTGGCCCAGCTCTCTCCGCAGAGCCAGGGGACCTCCGCTGCCGCCGCCAATGCATAACTTTTTCTGCAGCTTCCAAACTGAGTCTTCCAGCAGTGGCCACTCTGGGAATACACTCTGTGGTTGTGAGCCAGCTGCCGGCAGAGCATACAACCATAGAGTGTACGCCCAGAGCATCCACTGCCGGAAGACTTGGTTTGGAAGCTGCAGAAAGAGCGATGGGGTGGCGATGACAACAAAGGTGCCTTGGCTTTGAGGAGAGAGCTGGGCCAGGGCATTGTGAGGCTGGGAGGTGTGTGAATGAGAGCGGAACAACCACTTGTGCAACCCCCCTCTCCAGCTGTGCAGAGCGCCATTCACTGCCATTTGCCAAGCCACGGGAGCTGGGCAGCAGCGAACATGCGCTCACACGGCTTGGCAATACTCCCAGGTCAGTGAATGGCGCTCTGCACAGCTGGAAAGAGGGTTTGTCGGGTGGCTGCTCATGAGTGTGGTCGCTTCATGACTGCTGTGTTGCACTGCTGTGACAGCGCAACACAGCCATTCCCCCATGAAGCTGTACTTGACTCTTTGGGAGCCTGCTCACAAGAGAGCAGCCACCCAGCAACCCCCCTCTTCAACTGGGCACAGAGCCGCTTACCAACCTAGTGGTATCCCAAAGGCACTAAGCAACACGATCATCTTTGCCTCCCCCCTGGTTCCCGCGGCTTGGCACCTTCGGGATACCGCTAGGTTGGTGAGCAGCTCTCTGCCTGGCTGGATTTGGGGGGTTGTCCAGGGGGCTTATTTGCAGGGGAGGGCTTATATTTTTGCCCACTAGAAAAATGTGGCATGACTTTATTATCAGGACATGTTGTAATTTCGGGAAAACACGGTATTTAGTTTCCAGTCATTCCAAACTATCTTACCTGTAGCCATCTGGAACTTTTGCTCATGAACTATATAAATTTAAAATGCAAAGTTATTTTTGTCAACTTAGATTTTATTTTCAGTAATGAAAGGTGCACGCATTAAAAAAATAGATTTAATAGGCTCACAATAAGATACTTGTAAACAGGAGGTATAAACTACGATAGCATTTTAAAAACTGGCAAAAACCAGGCTATCTAATTAAATTAGCAATATATCAGTTATAGATTATATCATTTTCAGCATCCATCTGGCAAGAGGAAGTAAGAACATGGTTGCATGTTTCTCCTCCTACTTTAATAAACAAAACCCTTAAAATAATTCAGATGAAGTTGGATTAAAACCTTCTCCTAATACAATAATTTGGCATGACCAGGAGGACTAGCTATATTTATTGTCAATAATTCCCCCTTCCCTTGCTTGAGTTGTGAGCCGCCCTGAGTCCCTTCAGGGAAAAGGGCGGCATACAAATGAAATAAAACTCTAAACTCTAAACTCTATAA